ATTACTTTTAGCTGTATCACAACCAAAATGGTATAATCATATACATTCTATATATTTTCATATATATCATCTATTTATATGTTATTTAAAATTATTTAAAACATCTTAAGAGTTATTCAATCATACATATTTTTTCTTGTCCTTTTTGACCCTGTCATCTACTCCAGGACTTCTCCTCACCCACAAAGAGAAGAATCATCCTCTGTTCTGCAGCACATTTACTGTTCAGTCTGGTTTTATACATAATCCACAGATATAATGATTCCTTGGTAATATAATATCTTTATTTCATATGCATTCTCTGTAGCAAACTTCCTCATATATGGTTATGTCTCAGATAGAAAAAAACAAAAAAATTAATAAAGCAATTGTAAAACAAAACTATTCTTTCTCATTCAATAGAAATTGACTTTTAGCTTCTGGAAGTAGAAGACATAGGGTAAATAAGGAATTAGGAAGTCCAATTACAGATTTTGGTGGCTATGACCCTATATATTTATTACAAAGTAACAGTCAAAGAGGTTTTGTATATTTCCACTGAGATACCACATCTGAACCTCCAGATAAATCAGCTAAATAGCTGTATTATGTGTTTATTTTTAGTTTTAAGTTGTAAATACTAAAAAAATAAAAATCAACATGAACAGATATAAAATGTAAAGCAAAAGTTTGGCTTCAGTAAAGAGTTGATAAAATGACTCAATCATGCTACTGTAAACCTACATTCATTCTGCTCTGTGTGTCCCTACATAGACTCAAGGTGGCTTTTATTAAATTCAGTGGTACATGCTTTCACATTCATATCCAGAACGACAGAGAAAAGTACTTGTCTTCACATTGCCTTCAACAATCCTGTGATTGACTGGTGTAGAATGAGCTCGTTCTGTGCAGTATCAAAACAATCATCAGTCAGTGTAATGGAGTGTATTGATTACCTTTATCCTAAATCCCTTCCTCCTATTGGAATTGGTGGGTTAAGATTGTCTCCTCTAGAATCACATGAGGCCTGCAACGGAAATTTGAATTGTTAGGATGGAGGAGAGCATGAATACAATAAAAATATTTCTACAATAGACACCATTTAACATGACATACACTATTTTGAAGCAGCCTAGTGTCACTGCAGCAGTCTCATTGTCTGAGGTATTACCTGGAGTTCTTTGTCTCACAACCAAGAAAATTAAGGAGTGTGGACACCAATAGAGAGGTTGGAGTGAAAGTGTATTAAGAAAAAGAGGTAATCTCTCCACAATGGAGAAAGGGCCTGGGAGTGTTACCCTTTCACAGTTGAATGCAAACGCTTTTATAAACAAGCTAATGGGATGAGGTGTTTCATTTGCATATGGTGAGAAAAACTGGTTAAGGCTGGGTGTCTTATTTGCATAAGGTATGAATTCTTGTAAGCTCCACCCTGTCTCTCTAGTGTGCATGTGGGCCCTTAGCCTGAGTTACTCCATGTTGTTGCATTTCCCTTACTGTGCTTGTGTCAGGAGATGGATTTTTCCTCTGCAGACCCGTCTGATTCTACATAGATTTTCTTATCTATACAGCTGCAAGTCTGCCTTAGGCAAGCCCCCTGTGCAAGTTCTATTATCTGAGTATCCCTGAAAAGGAAAGGAATATGCTCACTGAAGGCCACCGTGTACAGGCAGCACTCACTGGTTGCACAAGAGACAAAGGCGTTGGGCCTTGCTTCCTTATCTGCTCTTGCAGCTTCATTTCTTCCAGGCTGCTTTTTTGTTGGAAAGACTTCTATTGAGAACTTTCTCCTAACTATCTGCCTAACTGGTTCCTTAGTATCTCCTCTTTCAATTTGACCATGCTCACTTGTGGAAACCAAAGCGCCTTTAATTCATAAAAGAAATGCTCAATTCACAAATTCTTTGTGCATTGTATGGTGTAATGTAGTCCAGGTCAGAGGGCTAGAAAAGATGTCAGTGATCATCTAAACATGTCACATTGCAGATGAGAAAAGGAATTATGGATACAGAGAAATAAAATGACTTGCTAAAAGCTACAAGTCTAGTTGTTGGCAGATCAGAAACTAGCTAAGTTTTTTTCCCAGTCCATTACTCCTTATATTAGTTACTTTCTCTTGAGATTTTTGTGGGAGTAGTCAGTCCAAGATAGAATTTTTTTTCTAATGGAAATGGTAAGAGCAAAAACTTGTATCTTCTCATTGCTGATGGGAACTAGAATTTCAAAGTCGCTCATATAATGGGTTTCCTAGCTTAGAAAAAACTCTTAAGTATAATGTCCCAAGTTAAGAGCACCCAATTAAAATAATGAAACCAGATGCACTTTTCAAATAAATACAAGCAATGATTAAGGAAACACATTGCTCCGTAGTTAGAAATTAGCTTGTGCTGGTAGGAGACACATTATAAAAATACATCAGTTTTTCTTTGATGATTAACTAGTATAAGGAGAGGAAAGGATTTTTCATCAAACTGCTTTCTTTAGTAACTGAGTGTAAGACTATCACTTGGGAAAGACATGCACCATTTCAAAGCGCAAAGAATCGTTGGTTAATAAAGGATTCGCTTGAGCAGTGATCCCCAACCTTTATGGAGTTGCCTGAAGATAATTTATCATAATTTGTTTGATTTTGTGATTTTCTCTGGTCTTTCTCTCAGGTCCAGCTGAAATTCTGCTTCCCCATGAGGCTTGCTTTTATCTTTTTCATGACACTTTCAGACCTTTCTGATCTCTCTCATATCTAAACTGTGAATACACTTAGATTCAGTGCCACACAGCCTGGCATATAATTTTTCCCTAAGGACTTGATGGGATAAATTATTGTTTCTAGTACACCATCACAAGTAATTCCATTTTAGAGAAAGTGAATTATATGTATTTTCAATCCAACAGGTCTGAGATTTGCAGAGTATTTAGTATTAAATATATAATGGTTATATGGTGGAGGAACATTCAAAACAGAGAAGGGAAAGTTCTTATCCAAAAAGCTGTTAATAGATATTTATTATATGATAATAATTTATTTTGAGATTTTTGTGACCCGAGAGACGTGAATAAGTTAAATGAGTTTTCACACGAATAGATGACAAACTTTAACTAAAAACTTGAAATTGTCTTATAAGTGTGTATGCATGTGTCAGTTTAATGTATTTTTCAAAATTGGGAAGTATCATACACACATAGCAATGTGCATAAAATATAAATGTAGACTCTAATGAATCGTTTAAGACTGAATGCTTGAATAACAATCTCCCTTGAGAAGAAATAGAATATTGTTGGCATCCTCAAAGCTGTACCTATCCTTCCACATCATAACCCTTCCCTCCCCACTAATTTTTAAATTATATTTCCTCCCCTCTTTTTTTCTCAATACTTTTGCCAATGAGTATACATGACTGAACAATAGCAGTACTTATTGTTTTGCGCCTCTCTTCTTTTGATCAGCATTATGTTTGAAAGATAAAATCCATGTGTTGTGTGTAGCTGTTGGTTATTCATTTTTCTGGGTGTACAAAGTACTATAGAGAGAATATATCACATTTCATTTATCTCTTCTATTGTCATTAAACATTTGGATCATTTTCAAATTTAGACTATCATAAACATTTAGCATTCTCCTACATGTCTCCTGGAGCGTGTTTACATGCCATTTTGTAAATTTTAAACCTAAGACAGATTTTCTTAACATAGGCACATTGGGATATCTTGAGCCCTATATATCTTGCTTTCATGGGTTGTCCTGTGAATTGTAACATAATTAGCTACAACTCTGGTCTGTACTGACAGGATGCCAGTATCACTATGCTGTCCACACGCTGCCCTCACAGTCATGAACAATCAAAAAGGTCTCCAATTATTGCCAAGTGTCTCGGGGGAAAAGTGTCAACTCAACTGCCTATGGTTGAGAAACACTGACCTAGGAGTATTTCTGAATTCTGTAAATAATGGCAAACATTTTTCTTTTTTTTTTTTTTTTGAGACGGAGTCTTGCTCTGTCGCCCAAGCTGGAGTGCAGTGGCGCGATCCTGGCTCACTGCAAGCTCCGCCTCCTGGGTTCACGCCATTCTCCTGCCCCAGCCTCCCGAGGAGCTGGGACTACAGGCGCCCGCCACCTCGCCCGGCTCATTTTTTGTATTTTTTTTTTAGTAGAGACAGGGTTTCACCGTGGTCTCTATCTCCTGACCTTGTGATTCGCCTGCCTCGGCCTCCGAAAGTGCTGGGATTACAGGCGTGAGCCACCGCACCTGGCCACGCAAACATTTTTCAAAGCAGAATTTATACTTTGCATTTACACTGGAGACTTTCCATTACTCAACATTTTCATGAACACTCGGTGTACTAGTTTGCTAGAGCCGTCATAACAAAATACCATGGACTGGTGGGTTAAACAACAGAAACTTTTTTTTTCAGGTTCTGGAATCTGTAAGTACATGATAAAGGTGTTGGCTGGTTCAATTTCTCCTGAGGCCTCTTTCCTTGACTTAAAGACGACTGTCTTTTTGCTGTGACTTCGCATGGATTTTCCTCTGTGCAATTCCCAGTTTTACTTCCTCTTCTTCTAAAAACACAAATCCTATTAGATTAGAGCCCTATCCTGTGACTTCACATAACCTTAATTTTTCTGTAAAGGCCCTGTCACCAAATACAGTCTCACTGGGGATTGGGGCTGCAACATACTGAATTTGAGGAGCGCAAAATTAAGTTTATAACAATTGGCATTATCAGTTTTCAGTCTTTCCAATTCTAGGGATGTATGCTGTATGCTGAAGTTTGACAATTACTGAGGTTGACTGCAGGGGCCTTTGAAAACAGTATGCTGAGAATAGATAGGGCTCAAGGACAGTATCTCCAATTGAACTTTTAATGAACTCCCGTAGGCGCCAAGAAGGCGGGCAAATAAGGAAGAGCATAGAAACAAGGAACTGAGTAGAAGGTTACATCTGGGAAAAGAAAGTTTGTTTTGCATTGCATTCTTTCTGCTGACGTGGGGTTTATGGGGTATAAATAAAGTGAGGCGGAGGCTCTGAGTGCGGCCGCCATGTTCTCTGTGTGTCTTTGTCTTTTGTGTGTTCTTTCATTCTCCACCACCCCCGGCACGGACCCCAACAAGTGGCGGCAGCGAGCAGGGTAGCACCGGTGAGTAGGGGAGAACAAGAAGGGGAACCCCCTAGGGGCGGGTAAGGCCCGGATATTGTTAAGGGGAACCTTCTTAAGCTTTCATTATGGGAATTCCATCTCTCTGGCCTCAGAATATTTACGCCTATTTCAAGGACTGTTGCTGTCTATAGGAGTAGAAGTGAAAGAAAAAGACTTTGAAGTGATTGTTTGCCCATGTTGAACAACATTGTTACTGGTTTCAGTATCAGCCTAAAGTGCAGCTGAATCGCAGAGAATGGTTACAAGTAGTAAAAGCTCTGCTTAGAGCTCTACAGTTAGGGGATATTATGCCTCTAAAATTGTGGACCTTGTGTAATTCTATCACTCAGACATTAGAGTTACTTAAAACTGATTCAGAGTGTGGTGATGTAGCCACAGGAGGAAAGGTATCTGAGGATTTGGAAAGAAAAAAATAAATCTGAAATGGAGCCCATTTGTGCCAGGATAACAGAAAATGGGGGGGGGTAGCAAAAGGGGGAAAAGAGAAAAAGCCAGCTTTTCCTTCTTCTAAGGGAAATTCTGACATGCAGTGTATTATGGAAATGCTTCAACAAATATTACATATATATTCTTCTAATTCACCTTTGTGAGCTTTCCCTGTTTCTTTTCCTTCTGCCCTGTTAAAAAAGGATTTTCCAGAGCCTCCAACTCCCCGGCTTCCTTATCTTTACCTTTGTTTGGCAAAGTTGAAGCCCTGTTCACATCAGACATACTTTAAATTTATACTAAACACCTGTTTAATATGTCAAAACCAGTGTATGTGTGTATCTTATTGTTTGTTAAAATATTATGAGTATTTCAATAGTCAATAAATAAGCACATTAATATTAACTATTAATATTAATATAGTATTAATAACCCCAGCTAGGAAATTGTTATGTTATAGGGGTGCATAGGTTCCACCAATTTACAATCCAAACAGAAGTTGAGTATTCGAATTGCTTAACACATTAACTACCTCTTGATATTTTCTGTGTTTTAAAATTTTAACCATTGTATTGTGTATGTAATGATTCTCAATTTGGTATTAATATACATATTTCCTAGTGAGTAATGATGTTAGACATATAGGTTTATTGTCATTTCTTTGTTCTGCTACTTTTGGTTGGGTTATTTGCCTTTTCCTATTAATATGTTGGGATTCTTTATATTTGGGGATATGAGTATTATTATATATTATATATACTTTTAATTAAAAAAAAATTTTTTTTAAGGAGCTGGATCTGTTTCTAATTATTTGTGCTTCTTTTGCTCCTAATGCTAAGTTTTCAAATGGTGGCAATAATGTCCAATTTAATGCCTTACAAATTAAATTTTTAAAAGAAATGAAAGCTGCCATTTCTAACTATGGACCCCTATCCTTGGTCTTCTTTATATTTTTTCTTCAGAAAATTTGATGATTCCTATAGACTGGAAGACTTTGGGGAAGGCTTTTCTTGATCGTTCTCAGTGGTTATAATTGCACAGCTGGTAAATGGACAAGGCACATGTACAGGCTAGAAAAAATGTTATGTGTGATCCCCCAGGACCCACTGAGGAACAACTCACAGGCACGGGCCAATATGCTACTCTTAATGCTCTGGCTGGTCTAGATGATGTTGCCTTTACTGAAATCAACTGTTTTTAAGGGCCTGAAATAAGGTAGAGACAACAGGAAAATCTTCCCTTTCCTCTGTGAAGATTTTACAGGGCACAAATGAGCCCCCCAGAAACTAGATTTTGAAGGTTCTTTTTATCTTAATTTTTTTGAATCAATGGAGACAATTGCAAGATTCCGCTGCCGTAACCCATCTTTCCTCACCTCCCTCGGTGATAGTCCCCGCTGACAATTTAAAGGTTTGGTATCCTAATGAAGAAGGTAAGTATGTTCAAGGGCAAGTTCTAAAACAGGGACGGGGCTATGTTCTTGTCCTTACAGGGAGCGGACCTGAGTGTTTTCCTACAAGATGATTGAAACCCTGTTGAAAAGAAAACTGGATTCAGCATTAATTTTTTCCTTTGTTAGATGTGCCTCGGCCGGGGACTTATTTCTCTTAGTGAGGCTTTGTATGAATATTGGACTTATATTCCCTTTCCGCCCTTGTATCAGGGAGTCGCCTGGGAGGAGGCAAAAATTAAGGTTTTCACCAATGACATTACTTGGATGCTGTCCCCGTATATGGACAAGGACAACATAGAACGGGAAACAGGAATTATAATCAGCACATACCAATTTGGAGTGGAAGGACTTCCAATATGTATGGGAAATAGTCCTCATTGTCTCCAAAATCGCATGAAGCCTGGGCTGTTCGCTATAATCATAGTCATGTGGCTGCTAAAATTGTTATTATTGTAACTAGAAGCTTTTAATATAATCATACTGTATATAGTAATTAAACTATTCCTAGTTCTTTACTTTTTTGTCCTATTCTAGAGGTTTCTCCTAATATTGAGGTGCTGGAGTGGACAAACATGTCGGGGAACTAAACCCCGGATTTTATTAGAATACAATGGAATGTAAATAACTGATTGGAGTGTGCACGGTGATTTTCAAATAAAATTTAGTCACATACCTTTGAAATGACACTGGGTAAATAAAAGTATTGCCGCTAACAGTAATGAAACCTTGGTACGGCGTGAAGGAAGCCTGAAGTACAGAGTCATCTTTGGAAGTTGTTAGCTGCAGGCGATGCCATTAGCACTTTTGTGGGGAATATGTCCCTTAATCTTTCTAACCCAAATAACTCCTTTCATATTCAGTTATATCGGAATACCTCCCGATATATTATTGCTTGTGTCCGTAAGCCCTACCTATTATTAGCGGGGAGTTTGACATGTGATAATAATATGGGAATTGTTAATTGTACAGATATGTGTACATTTTTGTCTTGCCTCAATCATTCTTGGTGGCACAACTTTACTGGGGATATTTATATCCTCAGGGCTCGTAAGGAAATTTGGCTACCTGTTAACCTTATGCGACCGTGGGGGGCATCACCTCTTGAAACTTATACTTGGACTTCTCTCCAGCGAACCCGCCATGCCCTTGGACTTATAATTGCCTCAGTGATGAGCATTGTCACCATCGTCTCCACTGCGGCCGTAGCAGGGCTCGCTCTACATCAAAGTATACAAAATGCTGAAATTGTGCAGCAATGGCACGAACAATCTCACCGGTTATGGCTTCAACAACAAAACATTGACTCTCAACTTGCTGAAAGATTGGACAACATGGAGCAAGCATTGACATGGCTTGGAGATCAGCTCACTGTACTCAGTACTCGGATGACATTACAATGTGATTGGAACTCCACTCAATTTTGTGTAACACTTGTGCCTTTTAACATCTCTCAAAATTGGACCGTAATCCGAAAATTATTAGTAGGCCATAAAAATATTAGTTTGGACATCCAAGAGCTCACTCAGAACATTTCCGAAGCATTTCGACAACAATTACATGTGTTGTCTGGAACCATAACCCTGCAGAAGCTGGGTCAGTGCCTTGCTGCCTTTAACCCATGGACCCAGATGAAAACATGGATTTCTACAATCTCTGGAAGTATATTGCTTTGGGCACTTGGATTGGGTCTACTTCTTTTGGTGATTTGATGCTCCCTCCGTCGCCTCCAAAAACAAAAGAAAAAACAGGAACAAATATGGGCTACCTTTTTAGGATTGAGGCAAAACAAAAAAAGGGGAAAATGCAGGGGCCTTTGACAACAGTATGCTGAGAATAGATAGGGCTCAAGGACAGTATCTCCAATTGAACTTTTAATGAACTTCCGTAGGCGCCAAGAAGGCAGGCAAATAAGGAAGAGCATAGAAACAAGGAACTGAGTAGAAGGTTACATCTGGGAAAAGAAAGTTTGTTTTGCATTGCATTCTTTCTGCTGACGTGGGGTTTATGGGGTATAAATAAAGTGAGGCGGAGGCTCTGAGTGCGGCCGCCATGTTCTCTGTGTGTCTTTGTCTTTTGTGTGTTCTTTCATTCTCCACCACCCCCGGCACGGACCCCAACAGTTGACACCTTTTTAGATGCCAACTGGCCATGCAAATCAACAAATGTGTGAGGTTTCTATGAAAGTTTTTAGCCATTTTTTTTTCTTCTCGGTTTAAATTATTTTTTTCTTATTAATTCGTTAAAATTATGTAAACATTTCTATTGTTAATATTATCATTACAGATGTCTGCCCCAGTTCTGAGGTTTTGCTTTTCACTCTCTTAAGGGTAATATAAATGAAGTAAAATTTTTAGTTTTATTGTAGTTAAATTCGTCAGTCAGTTTTCATTTTGGTCTGTGATTTGTGTGTGAGGCACACAGTGTAAAGTTAAAGTCAAGCTTTAATGTTTCCTTGTGGATGTCAAATTGACCAACATTATTTAGTGAAAGGTCATCCTTGCACACTACTCTGTTGTACCAACTTTGTCATAAATCAAGTTGAAATCAATTGGAATTACTCTGTGTCCTATTTTATAAATATACTGTAAATTAAATTACAGTCTCTCAAAGAGAAATTCTCTTGCTTTAAAAAAAATTCTGCACACACTGCTATGCAGAAGCATTTTAAGCTGCACAATTAAGTGGAAAAATTTGATAAATTAATAAGAGATTGTCCCTACTTATTTTACATGCTCCGTCTCTGAGCTCAATGTTCTGTTTTATTTCAACAGGATTGGACAAAAGTTAAATCCATAACAATTAGAAACAGCATGTAAATTCCATCCTAGAAGACATACCAAATCATTATAGCTGAACTTACTTGTCACAAAAGACCTTAATTGAGGAAAATATCTGGAGATCATACATGTCAGGTATTAACAAAGTAAGGATGATCTTAAAATAATGTTAACATTTTTAGACTCCTAGTTTGTGTCAGGTTAGTTCTTAATATGCATAAATTTTTCTCTTAATTTTAAAGGTACCCCAGACGTCAGGTAGTCACTAGTCCTTTTTATCTTGTAAGAAACTTGGGTACCCAAAGTTTCTCCACTCATCAATG